CTCACAACGATCATGCTCATTTTGCGGGGGTGATCTCATGACTTCAAAAGCTGTGGCCAACCTTTGCAAGTAATGCCCCTTCTTTATCACTATTTAAAACCATGTAAAACCATTTATCGTGGGGTTTTGTTCGTGGCAATCCCTCTCTTTATAAACCGATGGGTTTCCAAGTGGTGGGGCAATATGATTTTTGTTGTTGTTGATATGACTAGCAATGTGCTCGTGCATTGCAACATATCCAAAGTAGAATAATACATGTTCACAAACTTGAAAGAAAAATACTCTAGTAAAGAATGAGGTGAGGGAGGGATGTGGTTGGTTTCAAAATAGTAAGGGGTTTTCTACAAATTGGAGCAGAGAAGTGGGGCCTCGTTACAAAAATGCCACAGCTTACCTCACAATCGTTAGATGCAGATCTGGTGGTTAGAAATGACGGATGACAGACACACTATCATCACCAACTGAGTCTTTTATAGGAGTAGAGATGTCTTTGAAAATACAGGAGCCAAAAAGCACGTGGTTGCTTCGGCTTTTGGTGATGCCCAATCCCCGTGGGCATTAGCTAAATACTTCGTTTGTTATTATGTTTTCATTGCTAAGTGTTTTGATAACATATAAATAAGTATTCCACTTTGTACATATGTTTCTCTTTACGTGTTTGCTATTTGTAAGTCATCTCAAAATTTATTTAGTGTCACTCAAATCCATGGCTGCCCATTCTTCACGCCATGGATGCTCTTTCTTTTAGTGTAATAGGGTTCTTTATTCGGTCAAAATGTTCAGCGGAGTACATCAAATATTCGGGAGTGAACCCAACCATACATAACAGCCTACATCCAAAGACGACGCAACCTTAGCCAAGCTATAAGCTATGTGCTTCTTCTATAGTCCCCCTATTCCATTGATGCTCTTAGTCAGGGCATGAGGTGCTGGCTAGCGAGCTGGCGCTCACTCGTTGTGCATTGTTGGCCGGCCCAGTAACGGGTACGATCGCTCGCTGGGGCAGATCGCTTGGAAGAGACACTGATTGGCTGACTATTGACTTTGGAAAAAAGATATGGATCTAGAAAGAGATATGATGATTTCTGGGATGAGTGTGACATGATCACAGAGGAGGATAGAGAGATTTTGGAGAAACCTTTTTCTGAGGAGGAGATTAAAAAGGCAATTATGAGTTCTTATGCTGGAGGGGCCCCTGGTCCTGATAGCCTACCATTTATTTTCTATCAAACCTTCTGGGAGTTAATTAAAGATGATTTTATGTGGTTAGTGAAAGACTTTGAAAATGGTAATCTGGATGTTTCTAGATTAAACTTTGCTATTATTACCCTGATTCCTAAGGTTAGCAATGTTAAAGATATGAATTTTTTTAGACCTATCAGCCTTGGAAACTGTTTTGTTAAAATATTTTCAAAAGCTATGAATACTAGGGCTTCCCCTATATGTGACAGAATTATCTCTCAAAACCAAACTGCGTTTATTAAATGGAGATTCATACTTGAAAGTGTGGTCATGGCTCATGAAGTGATTCATGAGATCCATAGAACTGGCTCTAGTGGCCTGGTGTTAAAGTTGGATAATGAAAAAGCCTATGATAAGGTGAATTGGGATTTCCTTGTGGAAATGCTTAAGTCTAGAGGTTTTGGTGAGAAATGGATAGGTTGGTGAAAGATCGCGGATGTCGCCTAGAGGGGGGGGTGAATAGGCGCTTTTAAAATAATTATGGTTTATGCTTGAACAAATGCGGAATAAACCTAGCGGTTAATTTGTCAAGCACAAAAACTACAACAACTAGGCTCACCTATGTGCACCAACAACTTATGCTAAGCAAGATAAACAACTAAGTGATAGCAAGATATATGACAAGAAACAATATGGCTATCACAAAGTAAAGTGCATAAGTAAAGGGCTCGGGTAAGAGATAACGAGGCACGCGGAGACGACGATGTATCCCGAAGTTCACATCCTTGCGGATGCTAATCTCCGTTTGGAGCGGTGTGGAGTCACAATGCTTCCCAAGAAGCCACTAGGGCCACCGTAATCTCCTCACGCCCTCGCACAATGCAAGATGTCGTGATTCCACTAAGGGACCCTTGAGGGCGGTCACTGAACCCATACAAATGGCGACCCTTGGGGGCGGTCACCGAACCCGTACACTTTGGCAACCCTTGGGGCGGTCACCGGTACCCGTCAAATTGCTCGGGGCGATCTCCACAACCTAATTGGAGACCCCGACGCTTGCCCGGAGCTTTACACCACAATGATTGAGCTCCGAACATCACCAACCATCTAGGGCGTCCAAGCACCCAAGAGGAACAAGCTCAAGGATACCAAGCACCCAAGAGTAATAAGCTTCTCAACTTGTAACTTCCACGTATCATTGTGGAGAACTCAAATCAATGCACAAATGCAATGGCAAGGGCACACATAGTGCCCAAGTCCTTTTCTCTCAAATCCCACCAAAGCAACTAATGCTAGGGAGGAAAGTGAGAGGAAGAACAAGAAGAAGAACACCAAGAACTCCAAGATCTAGATCCAAGGCGTTCCCTCACATAGAGGAGAAAGTGATTGGTGGAAGTGTGGATCTAGATCTCCTCTCTCTTTTCCCTCAAAAACTAGCAAGAATCCATGGAGCGATTGAGAGTTAGCAAGCTCAAAGAAGGTCAATAATGGGGGCAAAAACGAGCTCAAGAGATGGGGAGCCATTGGGGAAGAAGACCCCCTTAAATAGGTCCCCACGAATTTGCCCGTTATGTGCAGAATAGCATAGAAGCGGTACAACTGTTGTGAGCACTGGTACAACCGGTAACAGGCAATAAGCGGTACAACCGGCCTTCAACCGCCCAACAACCGCACCACAACAGAAACTAGTCCGGTGGTAGAGCGGTACATGGCCGGTACAACCTTCGGACCAAATCTGGAGCGGTACAACCGCTCCAAACACCGGTTGTACCGGTCAACCGGTACAACCTCTCTATGGGGCGGTACAACCTCTGTGTGTAAAACAGGTAATATCAAAACAGCCACAACTTTCGCATACGAGCTCCGAATTCGACGAAATCAAGTTTGTTGGAAAGCTAAGGACAAGAACAAACACAATCTTGATAGGAATGTCAAGAAATGGAAATTGAGAAAATACCCAAAATAAAATGGTGAGAACCCTTTCTCAATTAAGACCGGTAAAAACTCTAACACCAAAAACACAAAAGAAGATGCATATGAAATTGGTTTTCGATGAACTCGAGCTTGTCAAGAAGATGACCATGAGATCCAAATATCACAAGGAGAAGAACCAAACAATAACTAAGAGAGATGATGCAAGGATGCAATGGTTTGATCTCTCGATGAATGATACGATCAAGCTACTCACTAGAGAGCCCCCCTTAATAGTACGGCAATCGATCCTACAACTCGGTCTCCCAACTACCACTATGAGACCGGTAAAATAGAAAACCTATCAAGGGCAAACCTTTGCCTTGCACATAGTCCACTTCAGCTAGATGATGACGATCTTGACTTCCTCAAGTTGGACCACCTTTCTTGATTGTGTTGGCTCGATGAAGACTAGTTGATTGCCC